TGCTGGTAGGAGCTCAAGTCACGGGCCACTCCACTGCTCCCCCCCCCCCCCTGCATAAACAGGGATGTGAAACAGGGCAGGTGAGGAGGGAGCTAAGTCCCTGACACAGGACTGAGCCTTGTGGGAAATGGAGGGAGACAGCTTGCTGGTGGGGAGCAAGGGCTTCCTGTGGCAGGGACCCCCTGAAGGAAAGACATCTCCCAGAGGCTTGAAGAGAGGACTGATTCTTACTGACATTTCAGGGAGGAGAATCTGTCTGGAAATTCTGCTCAGTGGCCTACTGACCCAAGTTCAAGGCCTCTCCTAGGACCACACCCCCGGCAACCGGGTAGCTCTGCTCTGAAAGCAAGAGAGCCAGGCGTTTCTCAGCAAGACAAGCCAAGAAACTCAGCATCTCAGAACTCTGAAGCTGGTTTAATACAGAGGAAACTGCAGCTCAGAGAGGACAAGTCACTTTTCCAAGGTCACACAGAGAACATACCGCATGGCTAGGAGAAGAAATAAACTAAGAATGAGAATAACCAGCAACCTGTCAGAATAGGTGGTCCGGACCCAAGACAGGGGTCGGGTCTGAGAGTGGTACAAACAGGGACCCACAGGCTGAGCTAGAAGGAAAGTCACTGTGACAGTGGGGCTCAGGGGGCTGCTCTGTGACAGCGCTGACCTAGGCATCTCAGGTACGTTTTTTACTGTTGTTGTTGTTTTAACAGTGACTTATTTATTTTGAGAGAGAGAGAGAGAGTACGTGCATGCACACTCAAGTGGGGGAGGGGCGGAGAGAGAGAATCCCAAGCAGGCTTCGCGCTGTCAGCGCAGAGCCCAGCACAGGGCTCAACGCCGGGCTTGAACTCACCAAACGGTGAGATCATGACCTGAGCTGAAATCAAGAAACCGACCGAGCCACCCAGGCACCCGACTTTTCTCCATATAGTATCACTACAGGCGATCTACCATTATTATCCTGGTGTTGCTGATGCGGAAACTGAGGCACCGTTTAGATGAGGTCTCCAAGGTCCCAAAGCCAGAAAGAGCAGAAGCTACGCTACAACACGGGTCTGTTTGGCACCAAAGCCTGACTCGTTCTGTGCAGCCCCGCCCATTCCCGGGATAGAGACTATTCCACCACACAAGGCCTCTCTTCCCTTCCTCCCTGCACACTCTGAACCCAGGATCCCTAGAGGCACACGGACTACATACTACACCATCACCCCCATTCCCACACACACACACACCTGCCCACTCTGGCCCGGTGGGGACCCGGTAAGGCAGGAAGATGGCCGAGTCCGTTAATGACACCAAACACAACACATATTTATAGTCCCAATTACAGGCTTCCCCCTCCCCCGCCAGCAAGGAGCTGAAACAGCGACAGGAACAGTTGTGTGCAGCGGGGTCTGAGGCCTCTGTAGCAATAACTACAAGATTACAGAGATGTTAGCAAACCCGGGTGGCGGTGGCTCTATTATAATGATAAATCTACGGCTTTAGATAGAAATAATGAGACTGGGGGTAGGAGATGGGGGAAGGGAGAGCAGGGGGGTCTCAGCCGGTCGACGTTCTCGGTGGGTGGAGAATGGCAAGCCGCTGGGAATGCCCAGGAGGCCACCTGCACTATTAGTCAAGCAAGGCAGGAGTGGGGGCAGCAAGAGCACAGGGGGCAGCCTTGCCTGGGGCGGGAGTGGACTCGATGAACTTCCATGATTTCCTTCCCACTCTGGGCTCCTTGATTCAGTGGAACAGAAGAGGCCTCCAGTGGCTCTAGCGCGGCCGGGTTGCCTGCTTCTCACCCTCCAGCATGCTGGGGGTGTACTACCTCCATGGCTCCCCAGGCTTCCCTCCGGAACAAGTCGGTGAGGCAAATGTCCCCCGTGGCTTAAGATGTGCAATGGACCAGGAGCTAGACTCCCCAGATGTACAGCTCCCCTCCACTAGCCGGCAAGCTTCTTCTTCAGCGGTTGTTGAGAAAACAGAATGTTCTAGGCTTTGCTACTTCACACCAACTTGAGCACTGGGGCTGGAGCCAAAACAAGAGACACACCTGGTTCCACCTGCCAGGGCTGAATGTGATGCCGCAGTACAAGCGCAAGGACCAGCAAGGAGACGGCATTCATGGACTCATGGGGCCTCGGAGCAGCCTCCTACACCCCGATTCTCACGATGCCTGTCCTGCTACCTCGCCTGTGAGTCACTGACCCCCCACTTCAGCCCAGACTCTCTGATCCAACTGCTTAATCAACTTGCTGCTCCAGATATACACCATTTACCTGAACCACACCTCTGAAGGGCTGTATGGGCTGCCTCTCTCCCCACCACGCCTGCCTCTACCCATTTTCAACATACTGTTTGTCCGTCTCCTCCAGGAAGCCTTCCCAGTTCAATCATCCCTGATTCCTATTGCTTCTTCAATAATCCCTTCTCAGTGTACCAATGTGTAGTTTGCACTGAATGAACAAAGGCAAGAAAGTCAGCACACGCAGGGGACCAGCCTGTGGGGCAGAGGCGCCGAAGAGTTCCGGGCAGAGCAGAGCCGAACGCAGCTCTAGGAATGGAATCCAGCACACAGGGGAGACGGGAGCCCCTGTGCTCATCTGTACCGCCCCCACCATGCTGGTGGCAGGATTTCACATGCTCTCGGCGCTCAGTCATTCCCAGTGACTGACCTGAGCCTCTCTGGCTCCCAAATAATTACAATATCAGAGTCAGCTCCAAAACAAAGGTAAAAGCACCATTCTTCTTACTTCTTCCCTTTCTCATCTACTCCTGAAATCCGGCGCACCGGAGGGGCTGCTGGAGGGAGAGCATCAGCTCAGAGTGCAAGTGAGACAGGGTGTGTGAGCCCCTCACCTGCTCTCTCCTGGCCAGGATGCGAGCCCTTCTTCCTTCAAGCTAGATATACTGCCCCTCCCCAACTTTCTTCATTCATCCTCACCTGGGAAATATTCCTGGGCTGTCCTAACTCTCAGTTCCAACTTCACACAGAATACACTCTTCGCTCCTTAGCGTTACTAACTGCTGCGTGGACGTCTCTTGTCTCCATAATCAGGTTATGCATTTCTGCGTGGGTCCAAGAGGCTGCCTTCTAGCCCAGCCGCACTCACTCGCACAGTGAATGCCTGGCACCGTGTTCTGCTTAGGAGGAGAGGGAGGGGGACTGGATGAGCACTAACTGAGGATGGCGACAATCTGCCCACCGCCTTTTGGATGATCTGCTGTTTTCTAAAGTGGGGCTGAGGAAGGGGGGTGGGGTAAGGGGCAAGGGCAGCCACAGAGCTCTAGCATCTAGAAAGTTATGAGGGGTGGGCTAGGCAACGCCCTCCATTCCAAGCTTGGGTCTTCATCATGCCCAGAGCTAAAGTCCAGGAGAGGGAGAGGAGGACCCTGGTGAGAAAAGGGAGCCTCCTCAGAGGCTGAGTCGAGCTCTTGCTTCCCCACCCGCAGGTCCTCACTCCTCCCTCTCTCAGACCCTCTGGGCCTGCACCTCAGCCTGGGAAGGACCAAGCTGCTGTTCTCTATCTGTGCAGTCACGATAATGAAGCCCACAAGGGAAGAGCTGCACCAGATGTAAACTTCACAGTGATTTATAGAGCAGGGCTTGGGCTCGCTGGCCCACAGCTGCTGCTCCAGCCCGCCCCGTCTGCCCGCCCTGTCTGCCCACCCCGTCTGCTGGTGCCACTCTTGGGGATTTCATGAAAGCAGAGGTGGGGGATACCCTGGGGCATCAGACTGAACTGGTCAAAGTCAGCACCAGCTGGGAGAACGGGGCGGGGGGGGTCTCAGAGACCTTCCCTAGGGCAGAAACGGAGCCCACCGAGCTTTGAACAAATCATCTTTCTTACACTTTTCCCAGCAGAGCAGGGCGGATTTTCCTGGCCTCTCTCCTCTTCAATTCAACACAGAGATATTGAGGGTTGGCTGTTCAAAGGGAGAGTCTGAGACCGAGTGGGGTCATCCCCACCCCAGAGAAACCACGCAAGAAATATCCTAGGAGACAGTCACCCAGCTAGCACGCAAGTGTCTGGTGGGGACACCCAGCATGGCTCTCAGCTGCCTGGATGGGCTTAGAGAGAGGGACCCACACCTGTGGGATCTACACTGCATGGAGCAAAGGGCTCTGGATGTGTCCTCTTCGTTCTCTGCACCATGCTTGTCCTCCCTCTGAAAACCTCAGCTCCTTGAACCCTTCCTTCCCTGGTTAAGTGCAGTTGACTGTGAACAGCCAAGCACCCCCTGTCCTCGGTGTGGACTCAGCCAGGTTCCCTTCCCGGCTGGCCTCCCCCGTGTCTCAGACTGGCCTGGGCAGGCAATGCCTGAGAGTAGGGGCCGTGTGGCAGTCACTAGCACTGGTCACTGGGTTCTCCTTCTGCGCACACAGTAGGACTTCTTTGCCCCCACCTCCTGAGTCTTGCTTTGGCTAATGAAATGTGAGTAGAAGTCACACGTCTCCCTCCGCCACGGAAGCTTTAAGGAATAGTGCATGGTTTGCCACACCATTTCTCCTGATGTGGTACCCACAGGAGCACACGTCCCAACACAGCCTCTGTCAGCCTGGGCCCCTGGGTCTCAGAGTGGATTATTTTTTGCTGCCACATAACGCCGTTTGTCCTGATTAACATGCCCTGCTCTGGACCGCCTTCTCCAGGCTTCTAGTACACGGCTGCCCTTGGCAGATGGTGCCGTCTGATTCAGCCTAGAGACCTGGCCCGAACCTTATGCATGACCAGAGAGATAGATACTAGAGATAGGGTGGTGGACCTAAGGCCTAGCACGGACAGGGAATGGCCCGTAAGAGCCCTGCCAGCCCACAGGGGAGCTCAGCTGCCCCCACCCAGGACGGAGTGCAAGGACTTCCCCAGGGTGGGCTGAGCCACTGGTCGGTTTCCAGAGTCCCCTCTTCACACCCCAAGGGGCAAAGGCCTGCGTGTCTCTAGGGGTGAGGAGGATGCCCCCCTCAACCCAGCACTAGGAATCTTCCAGAAGCCCCGAGGCGAGGCTGTACTCACACTCGTGGCGTACTGGATGTCCTTCCAGATGGAGGTTTCCCGGGACAGGTCGGAGGCCTCAAAGAGGTTGTCCAGGATGACCTCTCCGATCATGTCGTGGCGGGAGAAGCGGTCGAAGTCGAAGACGCTGAGGTGCAGCTTGCGGTCGGCCAGCTCCTCGTAGGGCACCGGGAAGTGGAAGTTCTCGTCGAAGGTGGGGTTCAGGGTCTTGCGGTGCACCCGCGTCTGCAGCTTGCATTTGCGATCGGGCAGGAGGTAGATCTTGACGTAGGGGTCAGAGCTGCCACAGAAGTCTTTGGCGGGGAGGTCGAAGGCCTTCAGGATGCGCACGATTAGGGTCTCGCTCTCATAGTCGTAGCGCAGGCTGAAGTTGATTTTCCCGCAGCTCTTGGCGGCCTCGGACTTGGCCTCGTCGCCGTCCACGGATTTCTGCTTGTAGAGCTCGGGCTTGATCCGGCCAATGCTGGTGGGCTGCTCGGCCGCCGGCGGGAGCTCGTTGCCGTAGTCCACGCTGGAGACGTGCATCTGCCGCGGCAGGTGGCGCTTGAAGGACGTGTGCCTGGAGGGGGCGGGATAGGGGGCCAGAGGTGGCGGGGTCATGGTGGGGGGAGGGGCACACAAGCCACGCCTCCCGGGAGCCCTGGCTCATCCCACCCTTTTCCACCTGCTCCTTGACCCTCCTTCCCTCTGCACACACTTTGAGCACAGGTGGCGTGAGCGTCACAAGTCTTACCATGTGTGAAGTACTTGGAACGGGGCCTGGTGTATAGTGAGCCCAATACCTGCTACCTTTTGCTGCCATTTTCTTTTCTTTTTTTTTCCCTGGTACCTGCTTTCTAGGTTTCTTTCCTAGTAGATGTGACTCTGGTCCCCCTCTGAGACCATGAGATCCCTTAGAAGGACCATCCTTTCTTACCCGGGACGTGGCTGTTCCTTGGTCACCACCACCACCACCACCACCACCACTGTCGTTAACATGTACCGGGCTTTGGAGCCCGCCTGCAGAGACTGGCTCTGCCACTGTCTAGCCATGTGACCTCGGTCTAGTCGCTTAGCTCCTCTGTGCTATAAAATGAGGATACTACACATAGCAGTTGCATAAGATTGCTGTGAGCACGGACCGGATTAATACATACAACGATATTGTTGTTGTTTCGTTTTGTTTTGTTTTCAATTAAAGAATGCCGTGTCTACTGTTTTACGGGGACTCTGTCGAGGGCTACAAAGGAATCCTCATCGTCAAAGTGTTCAGGACCCCTTGGCTCCTCTCCTCACACACTCTGTGAGGCTTTGCTGGCATTCCCCTAGACGCATCATGAACTTTTATGCCTCTGGGCCTTTGCATACTCTCTTCCCTGCGCCTGCAATCTTGCCTTCCCTCCGAACAGCAGCACCTCCCGCCCACACACATCCCAGTGCACAGCACAGGGCACAGCACCCAAGCCTCAAAGGTTCCCCTTTCCTGCAGCCTTTCCTGGTGCCCACCCCCTAGTTGGTTACCCACCGCGGAGCACATCCTCTGCTATAGTCCCCAACCCAAGTTCATGTGTTCTCATTTCTGGTCTCCGCTCCTCACAGGCTGGAATCTCATCAAGGTATTGAACATGAGAATGCGGAGGCATGGGGGTTAGGGGGAGGGGGACGTCCACCCTCACCTGGTAGAGGATGCGGGCTCAGTGGTCTGTCGCTGCAGCCGCGTGTGACGCATGATGTGCTCCTTGACCGACATCTGCACCTCGGCCGGGATATCTGGGGATGTGTGGCTGATCTTCACAGCCGCCTCTAGGAAGCCCAGGCTGTTGGTGTCCTTCAGCTTGTCAGCCATGTTGCCTCTTGAGCTGGGGCTCTGGGGGGCCTCCGGGGGAGGGTTAGCAGAAGCGGGACTGGAGGCCTCCTTGTTCCTCCAGGGCGTCCAGCACAGCTTCCAAAAGAGAAAGAGAAAAACTGCCACCAAGGCCACGCCACACACAATAACTACCACTGCGAGGAGGCTGACAGAGGTGCCTGCGCCCGGCATGAGCCAGGGCGGGGAGGGACAGAGACAGACAGAGGTGGGGGAGAAGCAGAAGGGGTGTTGGAAAAGGGGGCACACAGAGGGGACAAAGACGGAAGAAGAGAAAAGAATGGTCATGAGAAAGCTTGCCAGCCAGAGGGGAGGTGGTTTTCGGGGTGACGCTCCACAGTTCACTTCCTGCTGTACCTGCAGCCTGGCGCCCACCTCAGTCTGACTCCCCCTAGCGTGGCCCCCTCCCCCACCGCCAGCTTGGGGAGCACCTGGGCTGCCCCCCCACTGCCTATTGGCATATGCACGGGGAAGGGAAAGCAATTTAAATAGCAGCCTAAGCAAATGTGCAAATTCGTGAAGCGTTCACATTTGGATGCTGTTTGAATTTCTATTAGAGCTGTGACTATGGCCAGACTTATAGCAGAGTTATTTTTTTGTATACAGTTCTCTTCCTCAACAGGCTGTGTGGCCTTGGGGACCAGAGGCTCAGCCAACTCCATCTCTTCCCTTCCCCCACCCCCACTGAGCCCACAGCAGGAGCTCAGCAATCATGAGCTGACTTGAAGCGAATGAGATGGAGCATAGCCTCCGCGAGGCAGGGAATGGGTCTCCCGCTCCTTCTGTACGCTCAACTATGCACACAGTAGGCTCAATAACTACTTAGATTAAGTTGGAATTTGACCTACACAGTGTATTTCAAAGTTACATACAAGTGATTCTTGTAGCTGTCTTTTCCCATACCATAGCTATTTGAGAGCTCTGCTGTGAAACTGGTAATTTGTTTCAGGTGATTTATTTATTTTGAGAGAGAGAGGGAGAGAAAGAGAGAGGGAGCGCGCGCACGGCAAGCAGCAGAGGGGCAGAAAGAGAGAGAAGAGAGAGCATCCCAAGCAGGCTCTGTCTGTCAGTGCAGAGCCCGATGCGGGGCCCGAACTCATGAAATGTGAGATCATGCCCTGAGCTACAATCAAGAATCTGACACTCAACCAACTGAGCCACCAAGTGCCCCTGTAAAACTGGTAATTTTGGAGGTTGTGGTTGGCTCCGAGGCAGGCACTCACTGTGTCACCCCCAGCCCCAGTGGGGATGCCCCGGGGAGCCCCGGCCTCCAGAAGGAGGCCCCTCGTCTCAGGGGAGCTGTGGGCAATGCCTCCCTCTGCAAGAAACGATTAAGCAGATCTCTCCCGCCCGCCTTTAGGAATGACCCTAAAAGCCCAAGATCTCTTGCTCTGACTAGAGAGGCCAGGAGGCTCTGAATCAATGGCACACTTGGCAGGGTGTGCCCACAGGTCATCGTGCGCAGGCCAGCGGAGGAGTCCTGCATGGCTCATGTGACAACTGGAAAGTCAAGCAATTCCACCGCCATCATCATCACACCAGATTTCTGGAAACTCTGGGGAGGCCAGTTGGCTGGGTAACCAGACCTGTGCTCCTGGCTGGTGGCAATGGCACTGCCCTTGGAGGGGCCCCTGCAGGCTGGTGGTTTGCAGGCTCTGGACTACCCTGGCCCAGTGCCCTAGCAATCTCAAGATTTAAAGTGAGAAATGACCTTAAAACACTGGGGACAGGCTGGGCTTTGGCAGACAGGAGCAGTGGTCCAGAGAAGGAGTTTGTCTGGGTTCACAGTTGGGACACATAGCCTGGACCAGGGTCCAGAGTCCACTGCGCAGCCTTGTCTGTCCCTGATTCAACTGTAGGCCATTGTAACTCTGTGCTCTTGTTTTTGCACAACAGAAATACAAGAACACAGAAACTGGCACACGAGAATGAATGAGTGAGGGAAAGAATGGATGGCACATAAAAGGGCTATAATGATCTCTCAACTAGTATTTACTAAGCACCTGCAAGTACGAGGTGTTAAGCTAGGCTTTGGGTATCCAGATGCTAAGTCCCTCCTGGAGGGCCGGGAGTACTCTCAAGGCACACAGGTGCCAAGCAAAGCTGTCCCCCATCCAGAGGGACCTGGGAAGGAGGTGAGAACATCAGCTACCTTCTCTGGGAAGCTGGCACTGCCTGGATGTAGGGTACTAGCCTGAGCCAACTACGACAGCCACCTGCCCCAGGCCCCTGCACAGAGGGCCTCTCTCCCTGGTCAAAGGAGGTGGGGTTAGTCTCCACACAGAGACTGCCAGGGATCCGGAAAGCAGATTCTCAGTTAACTTCTAAAGCAAAGGTTTCTGGTGCGTGTGCCTGCGTCATGGGGGCACAAGAGAAAAAAATATCAGGTTGTTTTAAGATTTAATCACACTTGCAATATACAGGTTGATCGTCATAGAAATGATAGTATTTTATTATTGGATTTCGTTTTGGACATTACCATGTGCAAAGCACAGAGTGCTTTTTAGGTATTTTCTCGCTGAACAGTCTCCAGTGAAACAGAGTGATTGTTACTTCCATTTTGCAGATGAAGAAAGCGAGGCACAGAAGATTAAACTGCCCAGGGTCCCACAGCTAGGAAGCAGCAGAACGGAGCTACAGCCCTGATGTGTATGTAACATGGGAACAAATATACATCAGAGGCATTAAATCAAATCATTTGTGCCGTTAAGAGGTCGTTATCTAAATGGTTTGAAGACTGTTTCTTTAGGCCCTTCTGCCCCTGGGGTTCACCAGGAAAGCTACCCCAGACCTATGGGTCCTTATTCTAAGTACCCAGCCACCTCTAGACCCGTCCACATCTGTTCTCGGTTCCAGCTGTTCGGCTGCATTCTCTACAATATGAGTCACCTTAAAACAAAAAGGTATTTCTAGGCTTTGCTTTCCTTTGATCATACATCTTACTTGCTCTGGTAATAATTAGAATTTTAATGAGAAAGGGGGAGAAACGGGGGAATCCAGAGAGCATAGAGTGCATTTAAATGTTCAGCCTGACAAAAAAAAAAAACCCTGAATTCATAAATGAAAAGAGAGGTGGGGGGGTGCCGAGGGAATCGGTTTTTCCTCAGTGTGGTTGCTATTTTGAATACTTGTGCACGTGACCCCCCTCACTGAAGTTCACTCGGAGCTGTGATCAGGGCAGGCAGGGGTATGGATTATTGGGAATCAGCACCCAGCACTCAATACAGGTTATGTAAGACCCAGAGGGCCTCCCTCTGTCTGGAGAATCTCCTTCCAGAACACCTCGCCGGCAGGACTGCAAAAACTGTGTCCTGTTGCTAAGTGGATTCACCCTCACGGGGGATGCGAGGTGGTTAGCAAGGCTGGTAAGAGCAGGCTTAGGCCAGGGCAGGGGGGTGATCGAATAGGATTTAGCCCCTATAAAATCACTGTGTGTGGCCTTGAACTCAGCCAGCCGACATAGCCTGGTTAAAGGTCCGCTGAGGCTGGGAAGCATAGTCTCCCGCAGTCTAAGGGCTGTGCCCAGGCCCAGGTCAGCTATGATGTGTGCCTTCCGACCCTGGGGCTGCTGGGGCCAGGCCACCAGGACATGTTGCCCTCTAGCAAGTTACAGGTGCACACGTAGCCTTCAAAGCCTTTTTCCCATTCGCCTCAACATTGTGAGGCAGATAGAATTTTGATGGCAACACAGCCACCTTTTGAGTCCTGATCCATTGTTCTTCATATTTCATAGTGCGGTCAGGCACTAGCTTCATGAGAGAGGCAGCTCTCCAGGAAGGGAGACTGCCCTTACCATGGCACTGAAAACGAGAGAAAGTACTTCCTAAGTCTTTGTGTTCTTCCTCTCTCTCTCCTTCCTTATTTCCTCTTTAGCCTGGAGGGAAAGAATCACTGCCCTGGGGTCAGACTGGGCTCATTCAATGTCCATCTCCATTGGCTTTAAACCAAACCACTTAATATTTCAACTAGGCCTCAGTTTCCTCTTCTGTCATATGGGTATAATAATAGTATCTAACTCATAAGATCGTTGTGAAGTTTAAAAGAGATCAGAGTGCCTGGGTGGCTCACTTGGTTAAGCATTGTCCGACTTCGGCTCAGGTCATGATCTCACAGCCCGTGGGTTTGAGCCCCGCGTTGGACTCTGTGCTGACTGCTCAGAGCCTGAAGCCTGCTTCAGATTCTGTGTCTCCTGCTCTCTGTCCCCCTCCCCATTCACACTCTGTCTCTCTGTCTCTAAAAATAAATAAACATTAAAACAAGAGGATCAAAAGTGCTGAGGACAGTACCTGGAAAGTAGTAAAAAGCATAATAAATATTAGCTGTTTCTATTAGAATCACCTAATTCTGTCAAGTCTAGTTTTGAGTATCCCCTAGTTTAGAAAAATTTCATTGGCAGAAACACATGAGCCATGTTCCGCAAGCCATGAACACTAATAGAGATGGCTGTAACTTTATCCTTACAAATTAGGAAGCATCTTACTAGCAGAAAGAATATAAATATTTCATGTATAGCTAGATCTCAAGACATAACATTATGTTAAAGATCTCACAACTCCAAGTTTTCCTGTCAATACTCGTTCATTTACTTGCTATTTGTCCAGTTTCGTTATTACTGTAAAAAAGAAAATCATGGAAGAAAAATCAACAATTGCAAGAGCATGCTATGGTTTTGCAAAGTTTTCTTGGAGATTTGGAAAAGGAAGTCCGGTCCATTACTCTACATGAGGTGTGAAACATTTTTATTCAGGTGTCAGAAGAACCCAGAGTTCCACAGGCACCTGGTTTGGGAAATCATACTGGCCAATTACCCAGCAGCCTCTGGGAGAGCAAAGAGCTGTGGGACTAGGCTTCTAACCCTGGCAGGGAAGTGAATGTCCCTGAGGGCTCAGACACTGGGCAGAGAGCTCAGGGGAGCGCCAGCCCCAGGATGGATACAGAGCACACCCATCCACATTTCTAATTGTGTGGGCAAGTTACTTAACTTTCTCCAAACTTTGGTTTCCTCTTTTATTTGATGGGAATTCTAATTATTCCTACTTCACAGAGTCATTATGAATATTAAATCAACTAAGACTTTGAGCTTAGTTCCTGGTATATGGTAAATGCTCCCCAAATGTAAACTGCTATTTTATTTCATGTTTTGCTGCTGCTGCTGCTGCTG